AGTTTAGTTAAAGAAAGGGCAAGACATTTGAGGTTCTCACCTCAGTGAATCTTAACACATCGACTAAGGCATCTTTTACCCTTTACTTCATGCAAGGATGTTTTTGTTGCTGTTAGCCTCATCCCCTGCAGCCTGAGATATAATAGATAAGATAGTCCCAGTCATTTCTTAAAACCAAACAATAGTTTATCTTAACTAGTAAAAAAAGATCTGCCTTGAGCATTATGCTCTTTTAAGGACTATCTATATTGGATCAAACAACAACAGCAACAAAGATTAGATAGGAACTTTAGAGGGCAGTGAGTTTATGTTAATAGGGGAGGAACAACTCAGAAAAGGAGGGTGAGAATGGTTACATAATTCAAAGAATGTAATCGGTGTCACTGAATTGTCCATGTAGAAACTGTTGAATTGGTGTATATTTTGCTGTGCGTATTCTCAACAACAATCACAAAATAAATTAAATTATTAAAAAAAGAAGATAGTCCCAGTCATGCTTCTCGGTGAATATCAGTCAGGATCTACTTCTAGCAGAAAAGCTCTATACTGGTGTTTTATAATTCATACTCATTAGAAGGGTTTCTTCCTTTAATTATAATGTGAGTTCTAAGCAGAAGTATGGTTCAAATTATTTAGTACAGGATAACCAATTACCTGGGAGAAATTGTGGGAAAATAAATTTGTGTCATCCAAGTTAAGACAAGTGCTGGAGAGCTGAGAGGGTATGTCAGAAAAAGTATTAAAGTGGACCCTTACAGAGAGTGGAAAATATATGTACACCTGTGGTCTATAATTGTTCCCTGGCTGATCTTAATAAAACATTCAGTTTTTCCTTTTTTTTTAACAGCTTTATTGAGGCATAACTTACTTTCCATAAAATTCACCCACTGTAGGTGTACAGTTCAATGATTTCTAGTGTATTTATACAGTTATACAACCATCACCACAAAACATTTACTTTTTAAAAGTACATTTTCTAATTTTGATTAGAATTTATATTCATTCTTATTAATCTTTTACTGTACCCAACTTAATCACAACTTTTCCTTAGAGTTTTCCCTTCTTATTCTGGTGAATATTGATCTCCTTTCTCTGAACTCTGTAACACTTGTCTGTTCCTAAGACAGACTTTAAATATCAGTTATCTAGAACTCTGTATGATGAAGAGGTATCAAGTAGGCCCTATTATATCTCCCCAATCTTTGTCATACTACTTGAAATTCTTTACCACAGTGCCTAAAACCCCACCATTAGAAATATTTCCGTATTGAATATGGACTCTATATTAGTTAATAGTATTGTATCAGTGTTAAACTTTTTGAATTTGATAATTTAGTACTGTGATTATGTAAGAGAATATACTAGTTCTTAGGAGATATTTGCTGATATATTTAGGGATAAAGGATTATGATGCCTGCAATTTACTCTAAAGTGGTTCAGCAGAAATTATATTAATGATAATTATACACATGCATTC